TTCATTAAGAGAATGTAACTATATATCTATCCTAAACACTTTGAATACACAGATACAAAATGGACATTCATCTGTATACCCTTTTTTTGTTAAGTTCCGTTATTTGAATATTATAGGTGTGTAAACTCAGCAAAATATCAAAACAACACTTTTGATCAACATTTTCCACCATTCTAGTCTCTGATGTTTTTTGTTGTTGTTGTTGTTTGTGTTTTAGGGAAGGGTCTACAGGGTGTTCAGGGTCTCACTACTAGATTAGTCTCATAGTGATTCTCCTGTTTACAGCCTCCCAAGAGCTGGGATTACAAGCATGCACCACCACACCCAGTCTCAATTACAGTCTCAGTATGCCCCGCCCCAGGGGTGGGGCTGGCACTGCAGGCCTGGGGGATTGAACTCCCAGCCCCTGTGCCTACTCTCTGATATTATGAGTTTGACTAACTTACAACTCACATATGAGATGATATAGTATATTTTCTTCCATGTCTGGCTTATTTTACATAGCATAATGTTCTCCTGCTCAGTATTATCACAAGTGGCAGAATTTCCTTTTTCTTTTTTTAAAAGATGAGTCATATTCCGTCATTTGTGTAGACCATCTTTTCTGTATCCACTCATCAGTTGATGGACATTTAGGTTGTTTCCATAGCTTATCTATTAATAAGGTAATGAACATAGTGTAAATATCTCTTTGGGCTTGGGAGGTGGCTCAGTGATAGAGCACCTGCCTACTAACTGTGAAACCTTGGTTCAAGCCCCAATATCAAAAACAAAAATAAAACCAACAAAAAAGGAAACAAGATGATTTCACTTTCTTTGGACAAGGACCCAGAAGTGGGATTATAGCATCATATAATATTTTGATGTTTAACTTTTTGAGGAGCCACTCTACAATTTTCTATGGCTGGATCCACTTACATTCTCACCATACCTACAGAGTTCTGATTTCTCTACTTCCTCACCAACACTCGTCTTTTATTTCTTCACAATAGACATCCTAACAGGTATGTGAAGTGGTATCTCCTGGCTTTAATTTATACTTCCCTGATGATTCATGGGGAAATTTTTATATATAGTATCTATTGGGCAGTTGTATGTCTTTGTTGAAAAAGTATCTATTTGGATCCAATAAATCAGGTTAATTGGCTTTTCTTGCTATTTAATTCTACAAGTTTCTTATTTACTTTAATACTAACCTCTTGCAAGATATATGATTTGTAAATATTTTCTTCCATTTTGTAGATTGCCTTTTAATTTTTTTGATTGTTTGCTTTATTA